AAAAAAAAAAAAAAAAAAAACAGAAAAAGAAAAATAAGGTTAACTTGCAAAAAACAAGTAGGGAAGCCTCCACCGTGGGCTGGGGTGGAGGAGGGGCCCTCTGTCTCTCAGTGGTGGTGGGAGCCGGTTCTGATGAGGGGAAGGAAGAGTGAGTTTTTTTGTTTGTTTTTTTCTGAGATAGAGTCTTGCTCTGTTGCCCAAGCTGGAGTGCAGTGTTGAGATCTCTGCTCACTGCAGCTTCCACCTCCAGGGTTCAAGCGATTCTCCTGCCTCAGCCTCCCAAGTAGCTGGGACTACAGGCACCCACCACCATGCCCAGCTAATTTTTGTATTTTGAGTGGAGATGGGGTTTCACCATGTCCAGGCTGGTCTCAAACTCCTATTCTCAAGTGATCCGCCTACCTCAACCTCTCAAAAGTGCTGGCATTACAGGCATGAGCCACCGCGCCCAGACTGGTTTTGCTTAGAATCCACCCCTTGCCCCACCTCTCCCAGCGGTCTATGAGGAGCCCTCTAATCTTTAATCCATGGCCCTAGGTTCACGGGAGGGGGTTGGGGCAGAATAGGCCATGGGAAATGAAGTGGACTTGGAAATAGTCAGAAAGCTTTGGTGTGGCCTCTTGTGCCCAAGATAACCCAGGAGGTTCCTGGTCCTGAAGCCAATGGAATCTAGGGCCCAAACCTTCTTGTCTCAGTGTGGGCAAAATCTAGGTGTAGAATGGGGTGTTCGGGGGGCTCCCCATAGACAGAGGGTGTGAGACCTTCACCTTGGCACTGGAAGAGTTCAGGCCTCCTCAAACAAATGGGGCCCAGGATGGTAGAGGCAACAGAGGGCTGCTCTGCTGTGGCCAGCACGTCCCAGAGGTACATGTGGACATGGAGGGCAGTGGTTGCTGAAAAATGGCCATGGGCATTGGACTCTGCTGGAGTGGGGACACCTGGCACCGACTATGCCAGCCTGCACCAGGCACTTTCACTTCCCTTAGAATAGGCCCCTTACACTCTGCTCCCCACAGTTTGCATCAGAAGAAATGGAAGAGACCTACTTAAGGTCACACACCCAGTGGCAGAGCAGGGACCCTGCGCAGGGTGGTCTGACAGCAAAGGCTGCAATCCTTCCTTCCCCTTGGTGCTGAAAAAGAAAGGTTTCTAACTTGCTTTCAAAGCGAGTTCCTATCAGCTTCATTGTGGGCAGGGTGGGGCTGCTACACATTCTGCAGAGTGGCTGGGGCCAAGCCTGGCCTCTCTAGTCGGTGGGGGTGCACCCCGGGGCGCTGGGAGTCCAGGCCCGGTTTTGCATCAGGCCCTGCCGAGGTGTTTCCTCCTCCTCAGTGTGGGGCAGCTGCTGGCTGGGGTGCCTGTTGAGTCAGCCTTCTTCCCTCACAGCTCTTCTCCCAGTCCCTGAAACTCGGCTGCCAGGGGAGCTGGAACCACCTACGAAGGTGTCCTCCCTACAGGTAATACATGTCGGTGCCAGGGTCCCCTGCCAGGGTCCGGAGATGCAGGCACTGCCACCTGGTATCCTGAGCACCCTCTAGCACCTTGGGGTTGGGGGAGGTGGGTGCATGTCTGGGATTAGAACAGCCAGACAGATGGACAGACCCTCCTCTTGACCAATGGATCTGTCCCACGATGTTGAAACAGCAGGGAAGACCAGACACTTGATTCTGCCTCTGGCAGGAGAGGGGATTTCAGGGAGGGGTCGCTGCTGGGGACGCTGGGCTCTGATGTCCATGGCCCAGCCCAGGCCGGCCTGCAGGACAGAGATAGTCTCAGTTCTGCCAAACGTTTTCCTTCTTCCATCCACACTCAGACACACACACCTGGTGACCCCCAAGGCACCTGGGGACACCCCACAGCACATAGCCCAGTCACATGAACAGCACAGGAGGAAATACACAATGCACACTTCACACACCCCACATGGTGCTAACACCCAGAAAGTCACTGAACACACTACACCAACAATATAGTCACCACACAGCATCGCACTGCAGCAAGACACAGACACACTCGCACAGCAACTCCACAGCACACAGACCCATGCAACACAGACATGCCAGGCAGACTCGGACCCACACAGCCACACCACATGGCACAGAGAGGGACGTGGGCTCACACCCCAATCCACAGGGGAGCCCGAACTGTGCGTTTGCAAGACCCACACCTTGGCCATAGAAGTTCAGGGCGGGGGCCGGGCGCGGTGGCTCAAGCCTGTAATCCCAGCACTTTGGGAGGCCGAGGCGGGTGGATCACGAGGTCAAGAGATCGAGACCATCCTGGTCAACATGGTGAAACCCCGTCTCTACTAAAAATACAAAAAATTAGCTGGGCATGGTGGCACGTGCCTGTAATCCCAGCTACTCAGGAGGCTGAGGCAGGAGAATTGCCTGAACCCAGGAGGCGGAGGTTGCGGTGAGCCGAGATCACGCCATTGCACTCCAGCCTGGGTAACAAGAGCGAAACTACGTCTCCAAAAAAAAAAAAAGTTCAGGGCAACTGCTGCTGTCGAGCACACAGGTATTCACAGAGTGAATGTACACAGTACAGCCTTGCAGAAGGCTTTGGCTCCTGAGGGTGTCAAGAGGGATCGCTGGGGCTCGGCAACTGACTCAGCTGGAAGGGGACAGAGCATAATAGGTGGCAGACACAAGCAGGGACCTGCCTGCCCAGCTGCTTTCCCAGCCCCACCTGGAGCCCTGGCATAGAGGGGGCGGGGAAGAGAGGAGAAGCCACCCAGTGGGCTCAGGACATAGCCCTGGCCAAGTCATGGGCCCCTTGCCACGTCTCCGTGCCCCTCAATGCTGGACAAATGTTTTCTTTCCGGAGTCAGTGGTAGGAGAGTGGTACTTGTGCCAGCCTAGGTCTCCACTGCCAGGACCCCAGCCTGGTCTCAGGAGAGCCATGTGGCCAGAGCAAAGGGGCCTGGTGGCTCCAGGCAAGAGGGCAGGGCTGGTGGCAGGGGCATCCCTGGGTTGGAGGCCTCCGTGGGAGTGGGTGCGGCAGTTACCTCGGGGGAGGAAGTTGGGGGTGTGGGCTGAAGAGGAGGTTGCCTCAGACAGGAAGGCCAAATGGGCCAGGGCAGGGTGGAGGTGAAAGGTGGCGGGAGGGGACCCAGGCTATGAGGTTCCTGGGGCTGGGGGGTGAGCAGGGGTGTGTGTGTGTGTCTGTGTGTCTAGGTGGGTGGTTGTATGCATGCAATCCCATGTGTGTGCAGGCATATTTCTGCATTTAATTAATCAAACTTTTACCAACCATCTGTTGTGTGCAAAATACCGGCTCTGAGGGTGACTCCCTCTCCCTGCCTCCAAGGAGCTCACAACCCAGTTAGCTGGGCAATGTGTGTGTGCAAAGTCTATGTGATTTTTGTTTATGTACATCTTTATCGAGGGACATATTTGTCCCCAGACTTATTCATATATAGGTGAGCCCATCCGGGTGGGCCAATCCCCCTTGCTGTGCACATGCTGTATGCAGGTTTATTTGTTTGTTTTGAGATGGAGTCTCACTCTGTCACCCAGGCTGGATTGCAGTGGTGTGATCTCAGCTCACTACAACCTCCACCTCCCAGGCTCAGGTGATTCTCCTGCCTCAGCTTCCTGAGTAGCTGGAATTACAGGCATGTGCCACCACACCCAGCTAATTTTTGCATTTTTAGTAGAGATGGGGGTTTTGCCATGTTGGCCAGGCTGGTCTCGAACTCCTGACCTCAGGTGATCCTCCTGCCTCCGCCTCCCAAAATGTTGGGATTCCAGGCATGAGCCACCGCACCTGGCCGCTGTGTGCAGGTTTAAGAATGTGTGTGCATGAGTCCTGGGCATGGGTCCGGGTTGGTGTCTGCAGAGGGCCCTTTGTGGGGGAACAGCTGTGTGTGTGCCTGTCATTATGCAGGCGTTAGTGTGCATGTGGGACTGTATCTGTGCCTACATGGATGCACGTGTGCACATGTGCTTTGTGTTCCATCGCTGCAGTTCTGTGTGGCCCTACCTCAGGGTGTGTGCATGTGTGTCTCTGTGTTGCTTCTGCTGTGCCCCTGTGTGTGTCCATGGGCCCGTGTATGCATCTGTGCATGAGTACCTCTCACCCCACCTTGAGCTCAGCTGTCCTGGAATGGCAACCCACCCATACTGGGGCAAGTGTTTGGGGGAAAAAAGGACTATTGGCTCCAAGATATGCCAAGTATTTATGCAGGGCTTGACCAGACCCTCCGTCTTCCCCCAGGAAGATACGTGTGCCCAGCTGGGGCACAGCCCCAGCTGATGCCCCAGAGGGGCCACTCATCTCAAGAGGGGCTTTGGGCTCTGCCCTCTCTCCCCATGGCGCATGGGCCAAAGGCTGAGCCTGAAGGACTGTTGGACCTCAGCTTCCTGACAGAGGAGGAGCAGGAGGCCATTGCTGGTGTCCTCCAACGAGATGCCCGCCTGCGCCAGCTGGAGGAGGGGCGCATCAGGTGAGGCAGGGCAGACCCTTGCCAGGGAGCACCGAGAGGCTTGAGTGGCCCCCACCCTGCTCCCTGCCGACACGCTGCCTGTCAGGTGTCTTCGTGGTTCTTGGTTTCGCCCTTTAGTCTCCTCTCCTCTGACCCTGGCCAGCTCACAGCTCGTCACTTCTCCAGGGGTGACTGCACCAGCTTTCTCACCAGCCTCTCTGCCTCCAGTCTTGCCTCTTGAGCCCACTTCCTGCAGCTCCCCAGATCAGTCCTTTTTTTTTTTTTTTTTTTTTTTT